CCACGCCCCACTAATTTTTGTATTTTTAGTAGAGACGGGGTTTCACTACGTTGGCCAGGCTGGTCTCGAACTCCTGACCTCAGGTGATCCGCCCCTTTCAGCCTCCCAAAGTGCTGAGATTACAGGCGTGAGCCACCAAGCCCGGCCATCACGCTGCTTTAATCATAGCACTCCCTCTTACAAGTCCACCCATCTGTCTGCTCTGTTTTAACAGCTGGGATGGAAACCCAGGTGTCCCAGGGCCTCACCTGGTAACAGAGCACTGAAGTTCCCAGGGGGAAGCCGGACCCAGTTGAGTTTCTCCAGGGGGTCCCCATCTCGAGTCCAGTCCACTACATGCTCCCGTGGCTCCCCAGGCCCCGGTCGCCAGGTCACCAGTAGCTCCGTGCTCCCAGCAATGCTGCTGACCGCCACGCTATGGGGGGCAGAGGCTGAATCTGGAGGGTGGAGAGAAGTCTCAGCTGGCCACTCAGGAAGCCACCTCCCACCCCTCCAGGGCGCCGAGCTGAGGAAGGTCACAGTCTCTCACCCAAGCAGACCAAAGAGAGGTTGGTGAGAGGCTCCCAGCTTGTGGCGTTGATAGCGGACACTCTGGCCCACTCTGCCCCGCTGGGAATAAGGGAGCAGCAGCAGGTAACTCCTTCCGGACTCAGCTCACGACCTCCAACCCAGAACCAGACTTTGTAGCTCACCTGCACACAGGGCCCTGGGGCCTGAGGGATGAAGTGAAAAAAGGGTTAATGTCTCCCATTAATCAGGCACATGTATGTGTCTCCCTGAGGTCACCTGATAAACCACTGGTCAGTGAAACTTTCTCTTGTTTTGTTTTGTTTTTTGAGACTGAGTCTCGTTCTGTTACCCAGACTGGAGTGAAGTGGCGCGATCTCGGCTCACTGCAACCTCCACCTCCTGGGTTCAAGTGATGCTCCTGCCTCAGCCTCCTGAGTAGCTGGGATTACAGGCACCTGCCATCACGCCCAGCTAATTTTTGTATTTTTAGTAGAGATGGGGTTTCACCATGTTGGCACTTTGGGAGGCCCAGGAAGGTGGATCACGAGGTCAGGAGTTCAAGACGATCCTGGCCAAGATGGTGAAACCCCCCAACTCTAGTGAAAATACAAAAATTAGCCGGGTGTGGTGGCAGGTGCCTGTAATCCCAGCTACTCTGGAGGCTGAGGCAGAGAATGGCCTGAACCTGGGAGGCGAAGGTTGCAGTGAGCTGAGATGAGATCACGCCGCTGCACTCCAGCCTGGGCGACAGAGTGAGACTTCATCTCAAAATAAGTAAATGAATAAATAAACTCTTAGCACACTGTGTTATATTTTCTGGAGCTGAGCTCCAGTCTCGCTGTCAGGTTTTTGCATCTGCTGCCTCCGCCCAGAATATCTGCACCCATCCTCATGGCTCAGACCTCTCTGAAGCAGCTGACATTGGTGGAGACTTGCTCCATGCCCCACCCTGTACTGACCATTCTAGCAACGCATCCTTGAATCTTCGAAGCAACCTCAAGGGGGCAGTATGGGAAACTCTGTCTTGTTTATGTCATTGGTGTTTTGTTGTTGTTGTTGTGTTGTTTTTTGTTTTGGAGACGGAGTTTCACTCTTGTTGCCCAGGCTGGAGTGCAGTGGCGTGATCTCGGCTCACTGCAACCTCCACCTCCTGGGTTCAAGCGATTCTCCC